CTGGAGCTCAGCCTGGATATGGCGAGCAGTCCAGCTTAGAGAGGAGGAAGAAGGGGGCATGGAAGGAGAGTGGCGGGGCACTTACCTGGCTATGGTAAACACCATCTTCATCACCTTGTTGGGCGCTGCATCTGGAAGGCCCCAGTTGGGGTAGTGCGGCACCAGGGAAGCTCGAGGCAGAGTCAAGCATAGCGGACCAAGTCAGCAGCGGCATAGCTGCTTTGAGTGGTCCTTCGGACATCAGCGCAGCACCATAGCTGCTTGGGCTGTCCTTTGGGCATCACCGCAGCACCCTAGATGCTCAGAGTAGTCCGCCATAGCCTATGTATGAGAGAGGAGGAAGAAGGAGGGAAGCCATAGCTATGGTGGACTGATTGTTGTTGTTGTCATTGCTGCGTTAGGTCGCTAGTAAGAGGGAACTTCGGATATTGATTCTGGTTCATCCATTCATTGTTATTATTATTATTGAGAGAAGAATAAGATTGGTGAAGAGAAGGAGGAGGAGGAAGGCGGAGAGAGAAGGGGGAATTGTCATTGGTCTTGCTGGTGTACTTCTTCTTCTTCTTCTTCTTCTTCTTCTTCTTCTTCTTTACCTCTCCTCTGGTCTTTATCTCTTTGCAAGTGCCTTCATTTCTTTCGCAATTGGGTGTCATTGTGAATTTGCACTGGGAAATGACTAGGATCGTAACAATTGTTATCGGAGCGGACTTACTGGCTGGCGAGAGGTGTTAGTCACCCTAAACCTAATTCCGAGTTAGGTCAGGGCTAACCTAATCTCGGATTAGGGTTGGAAGTTAGGGTTAAGTGGGGCAGTGAGGTATGTGGATACTGCCCCCACTTGGTTAGGTCATGTTGGGTCGACATTTCACCTAACCAGGTTGACTGAATGAATGGATGGGGTGGCGAGACACAAAGGAGGCTGATTGGAGTAAGCGAGAGGGAGTAGAGAGTGAGAGGTACTCGCACTTGGAATCTGCACTTCAAGAAGACATTGAGTGACTTTTGGGCTTCCCCTCAAGAGGGAGACTTTATCGGAGGCTGCCATGTCTGCATCGGATTGCTGCAAGTTGCTACTTTGGTCTTCTGACATCGACGGGGGATCCGGCTTTGCAACAGGGGTGTAAGAAGGCCCTCTTAGTCATGCTGACTTGTTATCCATCTTTGGAGGTCGGGCCTCACAGGTAAGTGCCGTGTGACCTGGGTATGCCCGTGGGAGGTTGCTTGGTACTTCATGGCCTGTTGGGGGTGTGCTGGGCTCTCTTCCTCTTCTCTGCGGTCTTGGTTGTGTGTTTGAGCATGTGGATTGCTTTCTCACCTGATGGATGGATGGATGATGTATCTATTCTAAAGGACATATCTTTCTACGGTGCATTGTCTTTTCATTTCTGAACGGCTGTAGGGGTAAGTTCTTGCTGAAAGTTGTCTTTTCCTTTTCAGTACGGTAGAGGCAGTTTGGGACCGACTTGGTACCCCTATCACGTTGGTCCTGGTCCACGACCTACTTGGGACCCCTCGGGACCCAGTGGGACCAGGCCCAACGGGACAGGACCTTTCGGGCCCAAAAATTGTTGCCGCCTGTGCATTTCTTTGCTGCGCTGAACTTGGGGGACATACGGCTAGCAAGGGCATTCCTTTCAAGGGGATCTTGACTGGTCTTACCACCTGTTATCACATACTGCCCCGCGTCTAACTCGGCAACCGTCTGCACCCCTCGAAATCTCCATTGCTGCAGTTAGTTTTCTTCGGCTGACTTATTGTGATGCATGTCCCTTGTCAGGTTAGACAAGAGGGGATCTCCAGCTGATCTGATCGGGCCCGTTCTATAAGTCAGTCCTCTCTTTCATTTTTTTTTTATTTTTTTTTAATTTATTCTTTTTTTTCGCTGCGTGCCATTCTCTGAGTCCAAATGAATTGCCGCTCCGGCTAGGAGCTCTACCTTCTTCTCTGTGTGAACTTTCTTATTGTTTCTTTCATCTGAACTATCTATGTCCGGTATCGAGACGCGTGCGCAGGCAGCGAGAAGACAAGAAAGGGAGAGAGAGGGTGTTCTGTTTGAGAGTGTGAGGAGGGGCAAGAGGAGTGTTCGTCCAAACGTGAGGAGAGAGCGGACCCCTCTTGAGAGATCTGACACCCCTTCCTCCGGCATGGCAAACATCACATCTGCCCAATGGCAGGCCATGCTGGATGCAGCAGAATAAAGCGAGAGACCATTCTTCCAGAAACTTTATGATGACGTCGTGCAGAGGGAAAGGGAGGCAGAGGCAGCAGCTAGAGCTGCCAACATTGCTAATCAGGTGGTTCTCCTTCGGATCCCGGAAGCCAATGCTGACCAGTTCCAGGAGGAACTAGCTGCTGCCGTAGCAGCCTTGGTTCGACTGCGGACCTTGGAAAACCTTGAGTCCCGTGTGACAGCACTAGAGCAGCGGAACCAAGAGCTGCAGGCTGAGATAATAAGCCTCAAACAGTCGCAACTGTCTGCCCCCCGCCCTCCTAACCCTCGATCTGCTGCAGTCCCAGCCTCTCAACCCAACACAGTCCTCATGACAAGGGCAAGTGGAATTGTGATGAGTGCAGGATCCGGTGCCAGCTCCTCGAGCGGCAGCGCCGGCAGTTCTGCACTAGTCATAGTCCCAAATGCGGGGACTTCAGCCCAAAACGCCACAGTCCCTACTGGCGTTCAGTACAGCGGTCCCATGGTGGACAAGCGGGCGGCCACTCTGTCGTCCAAGTACGACGGGAAAGCGGACATCACCTCTTGGATTAGTTACTTTGAGGGCATGCGGACACCGCAAGAGGACCGAAGTATGATCGTGGGGACTAATATTGAGCCCGCCATACGGAACTACATTGAGCTCCAAGCTGTTGCTGCAGGTTATGAAAGAATTGACCTGACTGAGTGGCTGAAGGTAACCTCTGTACGCACCCTTGAGGACCTTCTCCTCGCACGGTACCAAGACAAGCATGCTGCGCTCAAGGCTAGGTTGAAGCTTGAGGCCCTCAAGGGTCAAACATGGAGGTCCTCCATGCAAGCTTTGGAACAACACTTGACTAGTCTGTTCACCACTCTAGATTTGGGAATGACTGACGTGTCTTGTATGGATGTAGTCATGGGAGTGGCCCCTAAAGAATACCTCTCCCTGTTGGCACTCAAAGACCATACCACCTGGCGAGAGCTCATGACGGATCTAGTCAACCTAGAAGCCAAGGACCTCGCCAGGCGGAAGAAGGCGCTCGCTGCAGGTGGGAAACCACAACGCAAGCGGTTTGGAAGCAGCAACCAGCGTGCACTGCATGATCATCGGGAGGCTGACGATCAGTCCTATGCGGATGATCGGTCTATAGATGACGATCTAGAGCCGGACTCCGATATGGGTTGTTCCACATCAGCCATTGAGTCCGACGTCAACGAAGATGAAAAACTGAATGCTTTTAGAAAGACTGCTTCAAACAAGGGGCCTAACCGTGGTTCAGGTAAGGGAACTGTTGTCCACCTCCCAAAAAACGCAAAGATCCCTGAGAAACCGGAGGATGCATCAACCAAGCCTTGGGAAGCCCTCCAAAAGGAATGGGAAAGAAGATCTAAACTGCGCATATGCCTGCATTGTCAAAAGCCTGGTCATGCTGTGTAGGATTGTTATAGACTGCAGTGAAACAAGTAAAGGGCATAGAGGAGTCATCAGCACTCCCTACAACAAGGGAAGTTGGAACATCAGTTGCAGGCCCCTCTAATGAGCCTGAAATAGATCAACAGCCCACTCTTGAAGCCCGGAACGACACTGATTCCAAGGCTGTTGCAATTCATGTGCTTTACACTGAGCCTTGGGAGGAGTCTAAGGAAGTTGACTTCCACACTCACATGGAACACTGGCTGCAGCTTAAGCAGCAACGCCGTATTCAAGGGAGTGTGGAACTAACCTTCTTTAAGCTGCTCATTAACCGCCGATACATCCGCGTGCTGATTGATAGTGGTTCAACCACTAACTTTTTTTCTCCTAACGGGATTCGTAAGGCGGGCCTGGGAATGAAGCAAGTGGAACTGCAGAACCCTTGTCAGACCCAGGTGGGCAACCAAGAGGTTGTCACCTCTACACATGTTGTCAAAGGTGTGCGCATCACCTTTGACAAAGACCGCACTGTCACACATGAGCTCAACTTCTATGTCATGGACAAGTGTTCGTTCGACGCGGTCATTGGCTTGGGCTAGTTAAAGGCTCATTGCCTAAGCACCACGTGGGCGGACAACCAGTTCGTGGTGCGTGATGCCAAGGGGAACGAGCGTACCATCCTATTGAATGAGACGTGCGAGTCCCCTGTGACGCTTCTAAGTGCAACCAAATTCTGCAAATCAGTGCGCAGGCGCAAGGAGATTGAGCATGTACATGTTGCTTTTGTAAAGCCTATCCATGTGCCTTCTACTTTTGCTGCGTTTTCTACCTCGGTAAGTAACTCTACTTCTACCACCTCTGCTTCTAATCCATCTCCTTCTACTGTGAATAATCCTTCTACTTCTAATCCGGTTGTCATTGCTGTAAATTCTCAGTCTAATTTTCTTTCTCCTGATGAGGATGATCCTCCACCGGAAGTCCCAACAAACATTCGCCAGCTATTAGATCGATTCCCTGAAGTTTTGGCCGAACCTCGTGGAGTTCCCGAGCGTCCAGTCAAACACAAAATCGAGATAATAGAGGGGAGTGTTCCTCCAAAGGGCTGCGTCTACCGTATGGGACAAGGCGAGTTGGAGGAATTGAGAAGGCAGATTGATGA